GGGTTCCAGTGATGTTTATGTGGCCTGGGATAGCTTACTTTACTTACTGGCTTCCTTAATAGCTTATGTGTTGTTGCTATCATTACGAGTTGTAGCAATTGTAGTATTGGTAAGGATTGGTAAGCCTTTCTAAGTAAAGAATATAGACTTTTATCATGAAATGTACAATATGCAGATATATTTATATAGAAGGCCAAATTTGTCCCTGATGAGGCAAAGAAATCACATGCTTTAAATTGAACATTAACCCACTTCTACTTTAAAAATTAAAGAACAGCTCCTCAAAAGTAAGCTTCACATTAAGACTGACAGACCAACTTATGTCACACTTTACTTGCTAATTAAAGTTGAAACATATTTCCTTGAACAGTTACTTACTATGCACAATTAGAAAAAACCATGTAGCCATATTTGGATTCTTTTTTCATTTTCTTTTCTTTTTAGGGCCAGGGATTTAGCTCAGTGGTTCTGCCACCTGCCTCACAAGCGCAAGGTCCCAAGTTCAATCACCAGTACCAAAAAAAAAAAATTTCATTTTCGTTTCTTTTTTTCTTTAAATACAAAGCTACTAGCTTAACTCCCCTCTAGACAACTTGGGGTGCAGGTGTAACACAGGAGCAGAAGCAGACAAAAGTCACATTTTTAAGAATATGCAGCCATAACACCCTTCTTACATGAGAGATAAACTAGAACTGATTTACATTTGATACACTGATTTAATCCAGTTAAATGCCAGAAAGTATAAATTCAGTTTAGAGAAGGAATTGGGACCAGCTCCTATTTTTTTTACCCTTCACTGGCCAGATGATGACACAATACCTGCATATAATAGATATTTAAGAATTACTTGTTGAATGGATAAGTTAATAGTGCCAGACTCATTTGAAGGGAAGGGAGAGAACATTAGTCAATTTCTGAACCTTGCAACAGATTAAACTTAAAATACAGTTAGGAATGTGTTAATCTGTCACCTGCCTTTGTATAGTGCTGGGGATCTGGGTTAGTCATTTAACACCTGCAGGCAACACCATAATACCTGAATATGGTGAACTCATTAGAAATTGACCCACTTTGTGTTTTGAGTTCTTAGCCAGCTTCCAGCTGAAGTTAGAGTAAACACTGGCCACATAAGCAAGCAGGTCAGTGATTCAGATTTGTCTGGTAGGCAAGTAGCACATTCTTAATGATATTTAGATTGTGTATAATTTCTTAGGGTTTAATAATAAATCCTTACACTTAATCTACATTAAGAACTTAAAAATAGCTCTTCATATTAAATTTATCTCTGCTTTCCAACAATAGGCAAACTTGTAATATAGATGTCATCTCAACTTACAGTGGTTCAATTTAGGAGTTTTTGACTTTGTGATAGTTTGAAATTGATAATGCATTTGTTAGAAACTATGCTTTGAATTTTAATTTTGATCTTTTCCCAGGCTAGTGATATGTGCTATGATACTCTTGTTTTGTTTTGGTTTTTGGTACCAGGGATCAAATTTGGGACCTTGCGCTTTCGAGGCAGGTGGCGGCACCACTGAGCTAAATCCTTGGCCAGTATGATGCTCTTTGTTTGGGTGGCCGGGGTGGGGTGGGGGTGAGGGGTTGATATCGGGGATCGAGCTCCAGACCTTGCGCTTGCACGAGGCAGACAGTGGAACCACTGAGCTAAATCCTTGGCCTCACGGTATGATACTCTTAATGCTCAACTAATGCAAGTGTCCTGAGCATATTTAAGACAGGCCAGGCTATGCCATGGTATTTGATAGGTTTTATGTATTAAATGAACTTTTGACTTAATGATATTTTCAACTTCTGTTGGGCTTATCAGTATATAACTCCGTTATAAATTTTGATTTGTTTTTTTGTTGTTGGTGGTGGTGGTTGTTTGTTTGGTACCGGGGATCGAACTTGGGCTCTTGCACTTGCACAGCAGGCGGCGAAACCACTCAGCTAAATCCCCAGCCCTCCGTTATAAATTTTGGAGTATCTGTCTTTAGAAACGATCTCTGGTTTACATCAAGAATAATTTTATTTTTTAGCTAATATGAGAACAATTTACCTTAATCAGATATTTTTAAAAAGACTTGTAGGGATGGGGATTTAGCTCAGTGGTTTCGTCGCCTGCTGCGCAAGCGCAAGGACCCGAGTTCAATCCCCAGTACCAAAAAAAAAAGACTTGTAGACTTGGTTACTTAAGGATATGTTTTCTAGTTTGGAATATAAAGCTACTTGTGATGTTACTTAAATTCTGTGGTATAATGGTTATAAGTTATAGAGCCTAAAGTTAAAATTTATAATGACCTGAAGTACCAGTTCTTAGCTTTTTGGGTATCAGGTACACCAACCTAATAATTACTGTGATAATTGCCCTCTTACTGTTTAGTACTACAAAGAAACACAGGCTGAAATGTGTATCTCTTACATCAATAATGTAATGGTCACATGTAGTAGTGAAAGGTGTGCTCAGCCAGGTGTGTTACATGCCTGCCTGGCGAGAGGCTGGAGGATCACAAATTTGAGCATCCTGGACAGCTTAGCCACTTATTAAGACCCTGTCTCAAAATTTAAAAAAAAACTTTTTAGAAAGGCTCTGGGTTCAGTCCCCATTATCAAAACAAAAGAAAAAGAGAGAGAGAGAGAGAGAGAGGTGTTTACTTGCTATTCTGCAGCACCTGTCACTATGTGGTGATTCTTCCTTAATATTTGGATGCCTGATCTGTTGTATCCTCCAGGGACTGCTGGACAAATATGTACAAAGCAATCAAAAATCAAAGCACCATAAAATGCATGAATGGTACCAACTATACATCTTAAAGAAATACAAAGTTAAGCTGGTCTAGAATAGTATTAGGTAACACAGGTTAGAGACATGGCTCATTGGTAGAGTGCATGTTTAGCATGCATAAGGGCCTAGATTCAGTCCCCAGCACCAGTGATGATGATGATGGTAATGATAATGGCTTAATACTCTAAATACGTTTAATAAAGAATTATCAGGAAACTCTACTGATAAAATTGATCTGAAGCATTTGAAATGCATAAAAGACTATATATGTGATTGATAGCGTACTTGGCTTATATAGGAAGGGATTGTTGGTAGATTTCCATAGAAGAGTTCGTGGATAAAAACACATAGGTAAAGGCCGGGGATGTATCTCAATAGGCACCAAGCCTGCCTGGCAAGCACGTGGTACTGAGTTTGATCCCCGGTACCAGGAAAAAAAAAAATCACACAGGTAAGAAGCAGCATAGCATGGGTTTCTGTGAGGAGACTTGAACAAAAAGCATGTATGTTAGGGGATGGGGATGTTGCAGACAGACTCAGGAAGATCTTAGGACATTTACAAAGGTTTATCTGATAACTATTGCATGGATCAGAGAGTGGAAAAACTTCAAAATTAATGGAATCACTGTACTTTATCTTGTACATGCAAAAGTTATCATAACAAACTAAAAGTTCATGCAAAAATTCAATGATACCTTAGCCCAGAAATCCTCTGAAAAGGGAATGTAACTCCTCTTTAAGTCTGCTGTGTAGTGTTTTGCTTTTTAACTTCATAAATCATGGGAAGCTGAGTTGGCAGTAGACTATAACTCAACAGTAGACAGATTGCTCTTTGCTGCTTTCTTTTAAGAAGCAGGTTATAAAACTGTTGGAAGCCTGGTAGAATAGGTAATAGATCATTTTAAGTAATTTGAAGGATTTAAAAAAATACAGTCTTGTATCTAAAGAGAATAAAGGCAAAAGAGAATTTAGAGAATAAGAAATCAGTGCCAGCCATGTGTGGTGGCACATGCCTGTAATCCCAGCCCTCTAGGAGGCTGAGACAGAAGGATCATAAGTTCTAGCCCAGCTTGGGCAACTTAGCAAGACCCTATCTCAAAATTTTTAAAAAGGGCTGAGGGGGTAGCTTAGTTTGAAGGCCCCAGTACCCCCTACACACACACACACACACACACACACACACACACACACGCACACACCACAAATCACTGTCACCTCTGATTTCCCTTCCTCAGTGGATCTGCCACATAGTCTGCCACCTTGATTGACCAGTCTCTTGCCTCTGTGGGAGAATTAAAGCAGGGACTCCCACAGTGGAGTATGGTACTTTAGAATTGTACAAGTGGAGTGTTAGAATTGTGATGCCTCTTTCATTAAAATAGTTCTATACATTGATTGATTGATTGATTGATACCGGGGATCAAACTCAGGACCTTGTGCTTGCCAGGCAAGCACAGTGCACTGAGCCCATACTTTTATTATTTTTTATATCATAAAATACCTCCTAGTATGTTCTGAGAATAAACCTTGGGATATGTGGGACACGATACTCTTCATTCATGTGCCTCTCACCGTTTAGACATAGCCATAAGGAAAACATTAATACAGTGGTACCTCAGTTCACAAACTTGATTCTTTCCATGATTCTGGTCACAAACTGAGTTGGACAAGAACCAAATCAAATTCGATGGTCAGGTTCAATGTTGACATTATGGGGAAACTTGATTCAGTTTTTGTCTAGTTCAATTTGTGACCAAAAGTATTGAGAGAATTGAGTTTGTGAACCAACGTACCACAGTACATGGCACCTGGTTTAGGTAGGCTGGAGCTTCCTCGCAGACCAGAAGATGGCTGCATTGCAATGTCGCAAGCATAAGAAGGTCTCTGACCTTAGAGTAGTTTAGGTTAGCACATTGCTATTACTTGAAAGACGATAAAGAGACTTCTGCTAACAGCTTTCTTTTTATCTTGGAACACTGTCCCCAAGAGGGCTTGTGTTACACTCTTTTGGGTCATGGCTTACAATAAGCCTACCATACCAGTGATATGTACTAAGTTAAGCAGGCAACTAAAAGATCTTTGGGATAAATGCAAAATATTTTTAAATGAATTGGGAAATGTAACATCCTGTGGGCCGAAGTGTGTCCTGTGATCTTGGATGGGTTTTAGAGGAAACTCATGATGTCAGTTCTAAAGCTTGAATCTTTTCTTTCAGACAACTAAGGCCTTTCTTCCTACAATGCTGGAGATTAATCATGGTCATATTGTGACAGTTGCGAGTTCCTTGGGATTGTTCAGTACTGCTGGAGTCGAGGTTTGTGAGATACAAAGCATTTTCTTCCTTCACTCAGTTTATCTTGTGATGAATACTCATACACCATGAGAGTACCGGCGCTTGAACATTCACCAGAGCACACTGCTGCCACTCTGTGTGTCAGGTTTCCCAGTACGCCAGGGCCAGCTGCGGAGATGGAATTCTGCCTCTTCTGCCATAACGTCACTTTTACTAGTTTGACAAAGTAGCACAAGAGACACAGATGGTCCAGTTCTCAATGTGCCCATATTATCAGTGACCTCTCTTGTTGATGGTGGGAGGCACAAGGTCAAAAATGAAACTGGAGGGCCATGGTAGTGCCGTGGGAACAGATAAATAAGGCCAAAGGTTCACATTCTGATTTGGTCTACTTGCTGAAAGTGAGCTACCTTGTAATAGCCCGTCAGTTGAGGTTCTTATGGCCAGTATCAGATGCTCCATGTTATAAGTTTGTAAAACAGACCTTCAGCAAACCCTGTTCTTCATCGTGCTCAAATTATAACGTACATGTGTATACATTGTTCTTTGCTGTTTGTTTGTGGGTGTATGTAAAATTGAAAACCACCAGGCATAGTAACACACACTTGTAATCCCAGCAATCAGGAGGCTGAGGCAGGAGGATTGCTGTTGAGTTTGAAGCCATCCCAAACTACAAAGTGAGATTCTGTCTCAAAAAGCCTTAAAAAACCATTCCATGGAAATATGCAAAGGGACACAAGATAGATAGCTTCTACATTGAAGGGATTTGTATTTCCATTCCTAAGTTTAAATTTGGGTCACAGGTAAGAACTTTCTGTCTATGTCATATGCCTTTACACTAAGTTCTAGTTCTAGTTCAAGTTTACAGGTATACTTGTCACTTTCATTTTAACTTCACCCTAAAGAGAAAGTCAGATCATAACAACTTATAACCTAAGTGAGACTTGCCTTTGTTCTTTTTGCATTAATTTAAACAGGTTTTTCAGCCTTCCTCACTGAACAAGAGACCATTTGTACATTTTCCAGACACTTCAAAGTGAACCTCTCTGCATTTTCACCTTCAGCCTGGTAGTGTTCATAATCCTTTGCAATAACTTCCTTAGTGTAATGTGATACTTAGTTGATGTGGCAAAAAGTGTTCGTCTGTTTCTGCTGTTGCTTTGGAAATATTATTTCTGCACTGAACCACATCAAATATCTTTTTTTTCTTTTTTCTGGTACCAGGGATCGAACTCAGGACCCTGTGCTTGCCAGGCAGGCACAGCACCACTGAGCTACATCCCCCACCCATCAAATATCTTTTAAAATGGTTTCTTTTTCTTTACTTGGTCACCTGTAACTTTTTCAGGCAAACATCTAATAAAGCAACAAGACCAGGGAAGCTTTAGGTTGGTTAGGGGTTTGTGCATATATTTAGCATTTTTATTCTCTCTCCCCTCTCACTCAGGATTACTGTGCCAGTAAATTTGGAGTTGTGGGTTTTCATGAGTCCCTGAGCCATGAGCTAAAGGCTGCTGAAAAGGATGGAATTAAAACAACTTTGGTTTGCCCTTACCTTGTAGACACTGGCATGTTCAGAGGCTGCCGAATCAGGTCAGTGGAAACCTACCCTGCTACTGATAAAAGGAGAATGTGGAATTGGATCTTCAGTCAGTCTTGCACTTTACCTGCCATTTGACAGTTAACCTGTAGTTTTCACTGGGTAAGGCTCAGAAGCTTTGTAAATTGGTATGTAAGATTGACAAGCAAGGCACTGGTGCCACACTGATACTAACTTGCAGAAATTAATTCAGAAGCACCAGATAGGAAACAACTTCTCTATACCTTCAAAGAGAATAAATACTCAGTTTGTAGAAGCTACCTCCTTAAGAGCTATTTTATTTCTCTAATATTATGTTGATAAATAAGTGCTCCAGAAGAAAAGTCCTTAATGTTTTGACTTTGGTTTGCGTATGAAACAATGTCACTATCACAAAGAAGCCACATATCTTTATTCTTGTAATATTATCCTCTAGATTTGGAAACTTCCTTTTTGCAGCAAATGTATATAGCTAGATTCATTCTGACAGAATGAGAAGAACCATTTAGATTTACTAAAAATGAAATAAAATACCTACACACTTGGGAGGAAAATGGAAATATAAATGTCAAGTTACATCTGACTTAAGCTCAGCGGACTAAACACAACCACAAATCATTAAGAGAGCACTTGTAGAGACTTGGTTACTTTGAGATCCTTACTTGGGTGCATTTGCTACGTAAAGGAAAATAACCCAACCAGTTCCTAGTTCCCTGTTGGTTAGGGAACATCTTAGCACATACTGAATAAGACAAGTAGTAGAGTAGGTGGAGGATGACTTGAGTCATTCAGATTTCAGGCTGACACCAAGTCTGTACTGAGAAATAAACTTTAGGGATGGGGGAGGGGGTGTGGTTCAGTATAGAGCATGTGCTTAGCATGTGCGAAGCCCTGGGATCAGTCCTCAGCAACAAAAAACAACTGAATTCTAGCTCTGCCTCTTGTCCTCTACATGTGTGTGCATTCAGGCCTGCGAGTATGTGTTTGGTTGATCTTTTCCTTGTATGTACATAGGAACCCATTGCTAATGGTTTTGAGAAGCCATTTCCTCTTTAACATAGTGGCCAGTGCAGCTATCTGAAGCTGTGGTGGGACAATGAAGAATAAATGCAGTAAATTGTATTATAGCATAATTTCAACGTGTACTTGAATGAATTAACCTGAAGGTAGCATGTCTGTGTGCCCTTTATTTCAGAGGCCCCTAGAGAAAATACTTTAGCTTTTCCTAGTCTGCATCCTGGAAAGTACAAAGCTGTTACTGCACTCAGAAGTTATGCCTATGTTTATACACCCTCATAATGCCTAACACTAAAAGGTTTGCCTCTTTCTGGATTTAATGTTTACTGTGCCAAACACCTTAGACCTTTTTTTTGATCGAAAGAAAAATATAGGAAAACAGTTTGAAATACATTTTATAACATCTTAAAAACAACAGTTTCTCATTTTACCGAAAGGCAGACCAGTGTTGCTTCTTTTTTTTCCCTAACTTGTTTTCCAGATTATGCAAATAAAATGTGTTCATAGTAGGGAAATTGGTGGGGAGCGGGGGGATGGTACAAAAGCACCATAAAGAAAACAATATACCCAAAGTCCTTTGGCTCCAGTAACATCACATTTAGTGTTTTGATATGTATTTTCAGTCTTCCCTATTGTATTAATTCTCAACTTCATTTTTGAACATATAAAACTTTCAGGAAAGAAATTGAGCCCTTTTTGCCCCCTCTGAAGCCCGATTACTGTGTGAAGCAGGCCATGAAGGCCATCCTCACAGACCAGCCCATGATCTGCACTCCCCGCCTCATGTACATCGTGACCTTCATGAAGAGGTAATGGGGTTCTCTCATTGATCAGGTCTTTCCTGCCTGCCTCAAGACCTTAATTAACTCAAGACTTTGAGTTTGCTAACTGTGGCTTTTCTTTTCAGCATCCTTCCTTTTGAAGCAGTTGTGTGCATGTATCGGTTCCTGGGAGCGGACAAGTGTATGTACCCCTTTATTGCTCAAAGAAAGCAAGCCACAAACAATAATGAAGCAAAAAATGGAATCTAAAGATTTTTTTGTATGGAATATCATTTCTATCAGAAGATAATCAAGATATTTCAGTGCAGTGCACATCAGCATTACTGACATTCTGGATTCTAACCCCATGTTGACTTTTTTAAAATCAACTTTTAAAAATAATAAAGTGTAAATTAACTGACTAGAATACTTGGGATATGTGATCAGTAAAAATGAGTGTAGGTTACTGCCAACAGGGTCCTTTTAGACAGGACCCTAAAACCAGTCCAATCTTTAGACAAGCACTGTATGACATCTTTGGGCTATCATTTTTTAATGAAGAGAAAGTCTAGAAATGATAACTACATGTGTTTCATGTGTATGATTTTTCTGAATTCCCATATTCATTCTTGTTATTAAACTCTAGCCAACTGACATCCTTGCAACTTCAAGGACTAATAGTGCTATATTTTCTCAAGTTTTCTAAGTTCCAGTTTTGCAAAGCCTATGTGGCTTTTTCATGGTGTTTGTATGTTCAGCTCTTTTAAAAAGGAATTTTGAAATCTCCATCAGTTTGAGGTAAATGATGTCTGAGCATCACAATAAAGGTGATGAGGTCTCTTTCTTAAACTTATGACTAAAGTATTAGCTGATTTTTAAACTTCTCTGAAAAACCATTGTCTGGAGACCTTGTCATCAAAAAAGATCATCCATTTTTCTACGTATGAATTTTGCTGCATATAGAAAGTGCCCTTTCCTTGGGGAGTTGCTGTGTTGCATGATTTTGGATGGACTCTTATCTAGAGTACACAGCAGCTCTGCAAAGAAGCAGTTTCTAACAATGGAATTTCTACACTAAAAAGTCCTCATTTTGTGCCGTGATTAGTGAGGGGAAAAAAATCTTCTTCTATGGAGTATGTATGGAAAGGTGTAAAAATTTCTTTGAAAGGTTTATTCACATTATAGAACAGCAAATGACATTTTTACAGTATTTTTTTGTAAAGCAAACTATTTGTGCCTTGAATTTGGAATATGTGTATTAGTGAAACATTGTAAAGTGAACTTCTACCTCTGTATCTAAATGTATACCATCTACTTGTAAATTACTATGAACTATTATGTGATTGCCTTTTTTTTTTTTTTTTTTAGAATGTCTTGTTTAAATAGTGACCAATGTTAAAGGCTATTAAAATAAGCCAACTTTTACTAATTGGGAAGTTTTTATAAAGGACTGATTAAATTTAAAGAATTAACTTACTTGCCACTGACTGTGTGATTATTAGTTATCAGCAAGGTTGTAAGGAATACCATCATGTTCTTTATTTTCCCCACATGCCATGCTCTGCTTTAGTTAAAAAGAAATGTTTGAATAGGATAATATTTGGGAGCAGACATAACAATCTAGGATACCATGCACTCAAATTTCCAGCACTCCCATTATCTAGAGTAGAGACTTTATCAAGGGCTTGCTTATAATAAAAGTAGTGAAACAAAAAGGATACTATCACCTGTGTTACCTGTGTTAGTATGACTCCCCCGCAGATCACATCTGCTCTGTATCTACAAGCACATTCAAGGAAAGTCCTATCTCACTGCTAATGTTCCTAGCTCGGGTCATAAGGAAGAGCTTCCACATATGTTTGAATTTGCCTTTATAAATGATAAGCAGGCACTGGCTACCTCTTCATTTTCAATTATGGATTTAAATAAGTACTTTGAAGTGGTACCATAACAGTGTTGGGTAGGGACAACTATTTTCAGGTTATCCAAGCCTGTCTCCCTGCTAGCCTGGAGCACACACAAATTATGCCAGTAAAATCTGTTCTGATTTAAGGACCCATTTACCAACCTTAAAACTAAAGAAAGTCTTTATACTTCATTTTATTATTATCTGTTGGAGTCTCAAACTGATTTCTATTTTTGTTCATTATGCCTTTATAAGGTTGTCCATCTCCAAGTTTAGTAAAGCTAATTCATTTAACATTTTTATACAAGTCTTTTATTCCCATGTCCCAGCCCAGTTTACTTCTGGAGCTCTCCCTTGAATGCTATCCACATTTTTCCCATCTCTAGTTGTGGCATTTATTCATTCATTCATTCATTCATTCATTTATTTTTGGTCCCGGGGATCGAACTCTAGTCCTTGTGCTTGTGCAGCAGGCGGCAAAACTACTGAGCTAAATCCCCAGCCCTAGTTGTGGTGTTTAGAAAGGGATACAGTTCATGCAAGTTTGAAGCTGCAGGACTCCTACATGTTAGATTTCTTCTAGTTTATTTTCAGTATAACGCTACTTTGCTTATTAGTGTACATGGGTGCTGTTGTTTTTACTAAACATGAAATCAGTCTACCCCACTTACTTTGGTCACTTAAGTAATTACAAGGTTATTTCTCTGGCTGGTTGTTCATCTATACCCACCCCTTCACCCCCCTCCACACACACACACACCCATACACCTTGACATTAATAAGACTTTGAATATGTTCTCTGACCTGTCATTTGATCCACTCATGTGAGTGTTCAGGGCCACTGGGCTCAAGGCTCACCCCCTAGGGAGCACCACTTCTGTCCTCAGCCAGGACTGGACCTGTCCTCTCTCTAACATTTCAACCAGTTTAATTATAATCATATTGAGTGGGACCCAGGAATCAAAAGTTTCTAAGCCAGCAAAGATAAATTCCAACTATTGTTTTCCCCCTTGATCTACCAAGTCTGCTGCTCTGTCACAAAAGATTAGATTAGCTTGACAGGATTGAACTACATAGAGCCAGGCTCTGTGTCTGTGTGTGTGTGTGTTTATGTCTGTGTGTGTGTTAAGTATCTTGTTTCCTTGAAAGGCTATAGCTTTCAAATTTTTCCCAAGTTAAAAGGGGGGGAGTGAATCAAGTTAAATCTCTTTTTCAAAGTTTTCTTTTCCAACTGGCAGAAATAATTCTAAATTGATGTTGACCTGAATCTTGGAAGTTTGCTTTTGCCTCCAACAAAGTATAAAATAGTAGGGGTTGGGGGAGGAGGCCATGCCACATTGATTGCCTGTGTCTGATTAAAAGGAGAAACAGGGAAAGCAAGGGTATTAAGGGCCAGAAGTAGCTGAGACTCAGCGCCAGGGAGCATAGGATCAGCATTCACCCACAGGCATTTGCTAGGCCAAAGGGCCTGTGCTCAGTAGCTTGAAGTTAATTCAGGTACAAATACATACACCTTTATGTATATATCCTACAAATGAAGGCTCAGTGTGTGGTAAGGTCTCAGCAAGATGAGGAGAGAAGTGGCAGTTGAGGTAAACCTGGAAGGCTGGGAATGGGCGATTGGGCATTCCAAGGAATGAATTCTCAGGAAAGGTCCACAGGCCCAAAATGAAGAATTATACTCATTGTGCCTAAAATACAGAATAAAGGAAGAGAATGGCATCTGTTCCATTCAGAGGTCTTATCTTGAGAACAACTTTCCTTCAAGGATGAGGAATGAGTCCTTTGGTATGGAAGAGAGGAACTGAAAAAATTTTAGCAAGAAAGGAACATGATCAGAGTTGTGAATTAATAGGACCCATTAAGCTACTGTGGAACTTTAAGACATGGGCTAAAAGGCTATGGCAGAAAGATGGCAAGTTCCAGGCTAGCCCAGCCTGATTAACTTAGTGAGGCCCTGTCTCAAAGACACATGTAGCAGGGAGACTGGTATTCAGGGCAGATCCTGGGCTCTGGGCTAGGCCAGCTGTTCAGTGAATAGAGTCTGCAAGAGAGGGTCCAGCAAGAATGGAGGGTTTTGATAACTCCGGCTGAACAGCTGACAGCAGAGATTTAACTTGGACCTAAGAGGACCCAAGTTTAGTGGAAAAGACAGAATCCACAGCCACAGTCTGATTTAGAAATGTTGCATTTGGGACACAGGATGTTAACTGTCAGCCTGGACATTTAACTATGGTCTTCGGGAAGGAGACTGTTGCCAGGATTCTGGAGTTACCTGCATAGGAGCTGTGAAGTAAACACTTAAAGGATGGGGAAAGCACAGACTTGAGAAAAGATCTAGGGACTCAACCTGGGGACTTAATAGGGAGCCTCAGCAGAAGTCATAAAAGCTGATGGGGTAAAGTTAAGAGGGGAACTTCCCCTGAGAACAAACTAGACAAGAAACAATGATCTCCACTGCCTGGACCTAATCCCCATGCTGAGTCACAAGTCGGAAACCTCTTTCTGGCCCAAGAAAAAGTCTGTGTAGCCAGCCCTGGGGCAGAGGCCCAAAAGGTGAAGGGCAGTGTTAACAGATAGCACATGGAGTTTTTAACATTGCACTGGGGTTTCTAGTAACTGAATCCATTGTTAAAGCCACCAAAGGAAAATTTCTTCTGAAGTGAAACCTGGAAACTGTTGTTCTTTGGCAATTTTGTTTGCTTGGCTTCAGAAGCATTCACTTAAATGCAAAGGCAACGTTTCATGAGAACCCTGGGGGAAAACAAAATACATTTCAACTATCACCAAATGGATACATGTTAGTTCAAATGAACTGTTTTCATGTGCCAAAGATGAGACGGGACTAGCTTCAATCAGTCTGCTCGAAGGGACAGGCTCCTATCTGGTCTCTGAAGCACCAAACTTTCTTGGCCAAGACAGTCAAAATGGACATGCCCTGCCCCCCAAGGGAAAACCACCGTAGAGCAGTGTGCCCTGTAGCTATTACTCATTCTGACTCACAGTCCCTACCTTACAATGGCTATCTTAAAGCACTAATACCTGTCAGGATTTACCTCTTTGAAAAAGTATTAAGGATTGACAGCCACATAGTCCAGAGAATTCTGCTCACTAAGTAATTACTTCTCATTTGCTTTGCTCTATTTCTGTAAAGAATTTACACAGTGTCTTCCAGGAGCTCCTAACAAGCTTTTTAGCTGTGACCGTTGAAACATTTCTCACCACTAGCCAAAAGCAAGACTTGATTAGCAAGAAAAACAAAGCATCTTCACCCCAGATTCCAAGTTTGAGGTTTTCCTGTCAAGGTGATTGAAACCATGCTGTAGGGAGAGATGTGTGCACATAGCGGTCATGAAAAATGTCCCCTTGCCTTGCCCACACATCCTGGGTGGTCCACCTGGACATCACCCAGCAGGCATCCCCTCCCCCTAGGGAGGAACCGAGCCTGGCTCCTCCATCCAGCCCTCTGCCTGCACATGCGCCGTCTCCCCGGCCAGCTCAGTTCATCCAGGCCCTGAGTGGTCCAGGTGGTTAATAGGCAAGTGGGGGTCCTGGCTCCAACATAGGCACACATACATACGGCAACAGCTCAGCATCCCACAGTTCCTGTTCAAGAGCTCAGTACCATGGACTGAATCATGGCCTTCCAAAAGATATGTTGAAGTCCAAACCTCCAAAGCCTATAAATGAGTCCTTATTTGGAAATAGGGTCTTTGCAGACATAATCCAGATAAGGCTATATTGGATTAGAGTGGGCTCTCGCATCACTGATGTCCTTATAGGAAGAGAGACAGAAACACAAGGAGAAATACCATTTCTCAACAGAGGCAGAGGTTGGGGTGACACAGCTACAAGCCAAGGAAACCAAGGAAGTGTAACAAGGATTGGAAGCTAGGAGACAGGTACAAAACAGATTCTCTCCCAGTCTCCAAAAGGGAACTCATCCTCCTGACACCTTGATTTCAGATGTCTGGTATCTAAAACTGTTCAATAGTTTGTTACTGCAGCTCTAGCAAACTAATGCACTCAGTGTCTGCTATCTGATGGTTTTAGTTCAGTACAGCTCTGTGGCTCACTGGCCATATATCCCAAGTATCCTGGGTCCTAGTTTTCCCGTGTGTAGACCAGGAATAATAGCAGTACCTACAGCAGCAGTACTGTGAAGAGTACGAGGGGCTACACATGAAGCACCCGTGCTGTGCCTACCACTCATTGTAATGTTCAATAAACTGCATTGGACTGAATTTTTTTATATTAAATTCTTTTATTGGTACATTGTAGGTATACAACACAATTACATTTCTCATTG